TTATACAGCCTCCCTTCACATTTGGTCACAGCACTGGGGAATATTTTCGAGTGACTGGAGAGATCCTGAGTGTACTGGGAGGCCTCTACTTTTTTTTCAGAGGGGTAAGATATTTGAAACTTTTCCTTTTTGCACTTTTGTTAGATGTAGGAGAGCGCCAAACATGCCTTTCCATGCATAGAATCGGCTGCTAAGATAATCCATGTTTTAGTCAAGAGCTACACATCTTTTTCCTTGGCCTGATTAGGAGTTCTCAGGTTACTAATGAGCTAAGATACACTTTGATCTATTGTATAAAAAAGGACGATCCTTAGAAGTTAATAAGCATCTCAGCAATTAGCCTGGCCCAAGCTTAAGAATGGGGTATTGCAGATAGCCTCTATTAAAGATTACCTGTCTTAGCTTCAAGTCCCCCTGCTTCCTCTTGGCTGCCAATGGAGAGGGGACAGTGAATCGCAGGTCCTCAAACCAGTGACTGAATAGGTTGTTGTCTTCAGAAGAGACACCAGATGTAAGAGAAGTGTAGTGGTACTGGAAGAGTCCTCCCTAAATCTTGCACCAGTGTTGGTTTTGAGCTGTTCTTGTGAGATATTTTACAGGTATCAGCTCCCTGGTAATAGGTATCAGTGCTTAGTTGATGTGTTCACATGGGATACTTAATCCCTCCTTGGATGCAAACCTGGTCTTCATTCATGCCCCCCCCCCCCCCCCTTTTTTTTTTTTCAGATACAGTATTTCATGCAGAGGCGCCCATCATTCAAGACACTGATAGTTGACAGCTACAGTGAGGTTCTTTTGTAAGCTCCAATATCTTTGCATTTCAGCATCAAACAGATGAATGTATGAGACCTGTAGCTTTGGCTGAAGCCACTTGTAATAGGTAGATGCTTTGCTATAATTTCCTGGGTCCTTACAAAATACTTACCAGTGGATATCATAGCACTTGAACAAGTGGGTCTGGATCAGTAACCTCCTTTGGAGGTAAAGCAAATGAAGTGTCTAGAAGTTCAGTTACTGTGTCATGCAGCAGAGTTAGGAATAGACCTCCAAGTTGGACTTGCAATCAAGTGCATGCATTGGATGTGCAGAAATCCTCCCATTCCTAAAGGGAGCTTTGCCTCTCCAGTTTGGGCCCTTTCTCTTCCCAGCTGGAATGCAGCTAAACAGGGCAATATCATGGGTCCATGGAAAGAGAGGGAGTGCTGAAGAAATTAGTGTTTTTAAGGACTTTTCTTCCCTCCAGTCACAAGGAAGAACAGGGATGAGACTACAGAAGTTTGTATGTGGGGAAACTGAGGAGTTTGCAAGAGGAACTGTAGGATTTAAGAAGGAAAACAATGAAGGGAAAAGAGGAAGTATTGGCCAAGGCTCCTTTGTGTTTTTGAGAATCCCTCATTCTGCTGTATGCCTCATGGGGCTCCTCTGTTCCCACCACCTGTGGCCAACTCAGCACTCTGCATTCAGACCATGCTTGTCTTTCAGCTTTGTTCACTCCCTGCTCCTCCTGAGCTCTGTGGTGCTGTACTTCTGTGGCCAGGAACTGTACGTGGCTTCCATGGTCTTCTCCTTGGCGCTGGGCTGGGCTAACATGCTGTACTACACCCGTGGCTTCCAGCAGATGGGCATTTACTCTGTCATGATTGCCAAGGTCAGTCCAGTGAGTGGGTGATGAGGGCAGCAGAGTGCTCAGATCAGGACACTGCTGCCAACAGCCCCGTTTCCAGGAGAGAAGTCGCCACATCTACCTCCATGATGCCACTGGGAAATCTCATTGCACTCTGCTATACTTAGCCATCATTTTCTGGGTGAAGTGATACAATTTATGTAGAAAAACCTCCTGCTCCTCATCCATGCATTTCACAGAAGTCTTGATATTACTACCTGCCATGCTTCAAAATAACTACATTTGGATAGGCATGGATGAAAGTAGACTGAGAACAGTGCAAACTGGTCTGGTGTGAAATGGCACAGCTTTCTACCAGCTGGAAATTTCTTTAGCTGCAGTTTAAATGTTACCAAACAGAGCAATTATCTAAGAGGCAGTAGCTGGCTAATAAACCTCTATATATGATGTAGACAGCTAGCCCTAGAGGGGAAGAAGGCTGCAACTGTCTTCATGTGGTTTGTACTCACAAAGATGAAACTGTTTGGCATGCATATGTTTTGCACGTGTGTAAACTGTTGCATGAATAACAGAGAAAAATGTTTTCTGTATTAAAGTTTATTATCTCAGCAGGATAAACCACAGTTCAATGCATGAACAGCGAGTTCACAGCAAATGCCTTCTTGAACTGAAGCATTATTTTCTACCAGTTTTTGTTGCAGTTTATATTCAAGTGTTAGCAATATAAGAATATTCTGTTTCCATGTTACAGATGATCCTTAGAGATTTATGTCGCTTCATGTTTGTCTATCTAGTGTTCCTCTTGGGATTTTCTACAGGTAATATCATGCTTGGAGTTACTTTTTATCGTAAAGAATCTCAGAAAATTTTATTTTTCAAGTGGCTTAGACTTTTTGTTTCCAACTAAAAACTAACAGATTAACCTAATTACAAAAAAATCTCCTCGGAATAACAATTATGTGTAGTCATTTCATACAGCTTTTCATCCCTGGGTCTCAACTACTTTGCAAAGCTGAATAGAAAAAAAGTTATCCTAGTCTATCTAGGTAAAACTGAGTGAACACCTTCTGAGAGGGTGTCAGTTATGGGGAATATTTTATAGAGCAGTTTCACTGGGGACAGTGCACCATGAACATAACATCTTACCTTTTATGCTCATTTTCATTGCTTGCAAAGGAATTGTGATCTTGCATTGTATTTTTATCCTGCATATGTGATTCCTCTTTTGCAACAGCTGTGGTGACTTTAATTGAAGATGACAATGAGGGGCAAGACACAAATAGCTCTGAATATGCCCGATGCTGCCATACGAAACGAGGCCGCACATCCTACAATAGTCTGTATTATACCTGCTTGGAGCTTTTCAAGTTCACTATTGGGATGGGGGACCTGGAGTTCACAGAGAACTACAGGTTCAAGTCTGTGTTTGTCATCCTTTTGGTTCTCTATGTCATCCTTACATACATCCTCCTGCTCAACATGCTTATTGCACTGATGGGGGAAACTGTGAGCAAAATTGCACAGGAGAGCAAGAGCATCTGGAAACTCCAGGTATGTTGGTTCCGTGAGGCTGCTATCCAAGGAGGAGGGTGCGGGGAATCATAAGAAATTTTGGAGAGAATCTTTACGAACTGACATGCTTCTAAATAAAAGGTCACTGCTTCTTTGATTCCCCTAAACAGTTCCAAAAAAAAGTATATTATTTCCTTTTCCATGCATATTTGATGTTTTGCCTGAGCAGATGTTCCCAGTGTTCCACAGATGTTCAGAATTTAAGAAAAGAAGTACTTTTGTAATTAGACAGAATTATTTGGGTTTTTGATGATGGAAAATCCTGATCAGAGTACGAAGACAGAGATTATGCAAGGGGAATCTTAAAGGCACATCAACTTTTGTTTGAGGGAACTTCACAAATCTAATGACAAGTCAGTAATTTAGCATTTCAAATGACATCTTAACAGAGGTGATATTTTAGATATGGATATGATGCCTGCTCTAAGATGATGACAATGATAAATGATCAAGGTTTTTAAAATAAAGGCAGAATTCAGGATTTGTGTGACTTTGAAACGGCAGCCTCTCAGTGGTCTGCTTTCTTTTACCTGGTAGAGAGCCATCACAATCTTGGATATTGAAAACAGCTACTTGAACTGTGTGAGGCGCTCGTTCCGGTCTGGGAAGCAAGTCTTGGTGGGGGTCACACCTGACGGCCAAGATGATTACAGATGGTGCTTTAGGTAACCTGTTTGTATGTCAAATGAACAATCCTTTATAGATAAACACATTAAGGTATCTGGTAATGGGAAGCGGAACTTTCCCCCTGGAGCACTCTGAAAAATAGTGCACTAACACTGTCCACAGTAGTCACTTTAATCTGTTTTCTGGGTTAGATCTGAGGTGTGAGAGGTGGCAGTTTGTGATACAAACTCATCCTGGAGTTGTCTCGTATCTTTATAATAGATTTTGGTTTTGTTGTTCTCTCCCCAGGGTTGATGAAGTGAACTGGTCCACATGGAATACCAATCTGGGCATAATCAACGAAGACCCTGGGTACTCTGGGGACCTCAAACGAAATCCCAGTTACTCTATTAAGCCTGGCAGAGGTGAGGGTTTCAGGGACCTAACTCCTAGCATGGGCTACATACTGGCAATAGAAGCAGCATTGATTAATTGTGAGAGGGCAGTCAGTTTTATGCAGTTAATAATAACAGCTGTAGCTAAGTTAATGACATTTTCAGTCGGGACAAAATGTAAAGGATTAAGTGGGCTCGTTATCCACATAGCAGTTTTACTCTCTGGAATAGAAGCCCCATAGATGCATTGTTCTGATTGTAGATTTTACAAAACAGTGTACAATGGCAGCCAGATAGCCAAGAAGTTACTTTGGAGGCCCCAAACCCTATAGTTTGGGATCTCAGCATCCAGCGCAGAAGTATTTAACTGTATGATTAGTCTCTGCTGTACTTGCCAGCTGAAATATGGAAAGCTCATGGAACAGTATGGGGAAGAAAACCACAAAGCCCTTTCTTCCTGCTTCTTTCTTCTTTCATCAGCTTCCTATTTAAACCACTTGTGTATTTTCTTCTGGTTCTGTGGAGGGGAAAAAATGAACCATTCCTTTCCTTTTTAGTTTCAGGGAAAAACTGGAAAACATTGGTTCCGCTTTTAAGAGATGGAAGCAGGAGAGAAGAGACTCAAAAACTACCAGAAGAAGTCAAATTGAAACCTATTTTGGAACCTTATTATGAGCCAGAAGATTCTGAGACGTTGAAGGAGTCTCTTCCAAAGTCAGTGTAATCTTATTTTATTTTTAAGAAGGTTAATTCTAGTTGCCCATGTTGGTCCTCACAAGCAGGGCAATTAGAGCACTTCATTCATAGGAACAGGGATTTTTGGAAAAAGGTCAGAGGACTTGGGAAATTACTATGTGCAAGGATTCATTAAGTATGCTAAATAAACTACTTGTTGTTTAAGCTTGTGTCTTCATGGTTATTTTTAATACAAATCTGCAAGAAACTGTCTATACTACTTGGTTTATATTCACTTGGCTAGATACTTGCATCTAGGCTGTCTCATGAAGTGTTAGAAACAGTTCCCATAGTTGTTTTTTTGGTTTGTTTTATAAATAAATACATTGAGAATTTCCTGCACTTCAGAGCTGTCTGTAAAGTAGCTAGCCTTTTTTTAGTGCGGATTTTTTTTCCAGTCTTCATCCATTTCTTTTACTCTTTGAAAGCGCTCTTGTGCATTTCTGAGATCTGAGCTGACATTGGCATTGTTAGCTAAGAGGAGCTTCACTAAGTTTTGCAGGTGGCCAGTGATGGCGGATATTCTGTTGATAATATGAAAAAACCAAAAGTGCCTATAGAGAAACTGTTATCACTCAACACCCTGAACATAGTGGATTTCATACCTTCTGTCTGCTTTTACATTGTCTTTCTTTTAAAAAGTATTTTTGTGAGCAGCTACAGACCCCAACTTTGTGGCTTGGCAGCCTGAAAAACTAACCCACCAAACTACTATGAAACTGGAGAAGGACTCATAAAAGAGCAGTAAAAACCTCCAAAAGCCCAGAGATATGTTCCTGTGAGGAAAGTTTCTTGGAAAGCAGATAAATACATGGGGACACAGTGAAAGAATACAAAAATAATGAATGATTTAGAGATGTTGTTATTCTTTTCTCATAACACAAGAACAAATATACTCTGTGAAATTTTAAAGGTTGAATAGTCAAAATCAATGAAATATATGCTTCTCTTACACTGTCTGAGTAAACTCCAGAATTCACAGTTATTGTTACTGAGGCTAAAGGCTTAACAAGATCCCAAATTTGACATTTATTTAGATAACAGATGAACTTTGCACAAAGTAAGAGATAGTGGTTATAGAGACTATATGTTTTAAAGGTCAGATGTATAATAATGTATAATAATAATCTTGAAATCAGACAGGTTTTTTTTCTTGACTTTGACAGCAACAACAGGAAGAAAGAAATCTGGTGCTGCAAATCCATCTGGCTGGATTTACAAAGAGAATCAGGAAAAATATCTGAGAGGGCAAATAGGGCAGATGTTCCAAAACTACAGATAGTAGTCTTTCTCTCCTGGAAAGAGAGGAAAGAATAGGAGGAACTTGCATCCTCTTGAAAAGTGGCTGGACAGAAAGGAACTGAGGATAAGAAAATTTGTCTTATAGACAGCTGGCCCAATATTTCAGTGCTGGACCTGTGCAGATGTGTTGGGCAAGAAAAGGTAAATTGTTTTACCTTCTTTCCTTGTTACGTATCTCTAAAGCACTTGTACTTGGGCATTAAAGGCTGTTAAGTCTAGCATGCATATACAAGTATCCTTAAGACAACAAGGTATTTAACCATGGGTTTCAGTTTGAACATGTGCACTGTTTCTGTGGTTGCATTTGAAGTACGGTTGTGCTAAAGCGCTCCTGTGAAATTGGGCCAGAGTGCACAGCCTTTGCCAGGGAAAGCCCATCATGCTTGGCCTGTGACGTGTCCAGAGGCTGCGGTCAGAGAACGTTCATATGAGTCATTGAAGTTGAAAAGTGGTATGCTGGAGGGGTCAGTTGCAAATTATTGGGAAAATTGGAAATTAAAGACATCATAGAAAATTGAGCCAACCTTTGAAAGATAATTTTCATCAATACATCCTATAATTTTTCTGCATTTAGTATGATACTGAAACATTCACTATTCTTAAAGAGAAGCAATTAGTATATATTCATAGAGACTGCCCTTCACTGCTAACACTGTTAGATGAAGTTTTGGATTGTTTGACGTCAGTTCTTTTACTGGGGTCAGGATTTCTCACAGCGCTCCTATCTCATAGGGTATTACAGCAATATATTTCAACAAAATCTTCAAGTGTCCAGTTGCTTTATTTGAAATAGTAGCACCATCTAGAGGACTAAAAATTCTTGTTTCTTTTGTTAACATCATTCAGGACAAAGGTAGTTTTATTGTCATAGAGTTTGTAGGGTATAACCAGAGAAAGGTTATAACCAGCCAAAGGATTTGAAAGAATTGCTTGGAAAAAATTGGAATTTAAACCCAACAACCTTTGTCTCTGGTGGACAGGGAAACCACAAAAGAAGTTTAAGGTAGGCATGTTCCATTTCATACCATTACAAAGGTGTATCTCTAAATGCTTGATAGCAGTCTCTATAGGTTTCACTCAAGACTTCAATATGCTCCAAGCTGAACATGGCAAGAGACAATTCATGTGGAAAACAAGACAGGCTGAGACAGCGAAATAATTTTTTATTAAAACTATTAAGAATAAACGTAGAAAGGGGCTGACCAGAAAATCAGAGTTGATTGTCTCCATGCCTTTGTGTGCCAGGACAAATTTATGTTTGAAAGCACACCAGGATGATGATATAGCTAGAAAGCATTTATGAAATTTCTTTATTCCCTGTGAGGGATCTATTTCTTATAATTATCAGCCTGCGTAGAGTCCTAACCCATTGCTTAAATTCCACCTTGATTTACATCAAGTGCCTATCCAGAAGGGTTGATCAGCTGCCCTGGGTAACCTGAACAGAATATAGATCTCTGCCTTCCTGTTGCTTTCTGCTCCAACAAGGTTACAAAGACTGCAGGGGACTTCTTAATAAAAAACTGAAATGCTAGAATTCAGAGTGAAAACATATGTCAGTATAATGTTGTGGTTAAAAATGTAAATGCCCTATATTTGTGGAATAGGGTGGTGCTGGTGGTTTTTTTCATTGCATTTTTTAAATCCCTTAGTCTTCTCTGGGAAGCAAACAAAATTATCCCACTTTTCTAGAGTCAGTTACTACTAACCTCTCAGAATTTCCAGCTATATCATCACTCAGTTACTGCAATGGGCAGAAATTTATTTCCCACAGCTGAGGAGGTATAGCTTGGCAGTGACTCCAACCTGGTGTTGCACACATTTATTTGGACTCAGCTGGCCAGGGCTTGCTTTGCCACAGTTGACTTCCTTCCTCTTCATTCCACCTAGGTGCATAGAGTTGCTTTTGGAAATTGAGGTGTGTCTCTGTTTAGGCAGACTGGGTGGGATGCCTATAGGGGACATACTTGTCTCACTCTCACAGTGGAGGGCTGCAACTAACCCCCAGGGGAGAGAGGTGGCTTGTCAGGAAGTATTTCTGCTTTAAGAATAGCCTTGCTTGGACCAGCACCTTTCTGTTCCTGCTGCTAGAAACCTCCACTGGCTGAGGAGGAGCATGGCTTTGCAATAAATTACCTTTACTTGGGTTGTTTTGGGGAGGTTCTGCTCACTTTAGCAGACATACTTTGCATGGTCTTGCAGAATCCATGTCCTGAGCACTAGGGGAGTTTTTTGGTTGGAAGTTTGCATACTTATTTCACACTGAACATGGTTAGAAACAGCACGTGGTTCCAATGCTATTCCTTGAGGCTTGCAGGTGGTAAAAATCTGTCCTTTCACAGTTATTAGTCACATGAATTTGTGTCCACACTAAGTGCTTAATATGTGATGGTCAGGTTCTGCAACTGTATATATCCGTCAGCTCCCAGTAACCTCACTGGCTCAAAAGCAAAAGAAATGAAAGGTGGTGATGCACTCACCTCCTGTATGTGGGTGACAACTGTAATTAGCAATGACTGCAAATGTGTGCGGGATGGGAGATAGCAAGAAGAGATGAGCTGGATGAAGATGAGTTGGGCTACACCTCACTGGGAGTTGAAAATTGGCTGATGAACATCTGGAAAAGCAAAAATGCAATCTCAGTATTATACAGCATTGCCATACCTGAGATAGAACTTGTGTAGTCAACCATGTAAATGGAACTGTTGTGTCTTTCAAGCTCCAATAATTTCTGAATTAGTTGAGAAAAACATGCATCCTACCTGAAAAACTCAGAGCCACACAGCCTTCGTGTGTGCTCATTGTGCCCTCTGCAACAGCTGGCATTGGAGTCTGAATAGCCCTTGTCCTAATTAAACAGTAATGTTAATCCCCTGTCAGGCAGCACATTGATAGTTTTTAGTGGGGTCCACGGGAGACACCAGGGCCCACAAGAGGGCCCCCACGCCATGTGCAGGGTTGCTGCCTGGTACCTCTGGGGTACCCCATAACTGACTTGCCCAGGAAAGCCCCTCTCTGACACCACTGTCTTGCTTTGCTGCCTCTGATTGTTATTGAATACATCGAATCATATTTATCTTTGCCAAATGACAGCTAATCCTGTCACTCTTCTGTGGCACCTGTATCACACTAGCACATTATTCAGTCATGCATCTTTGCTGGAGTCCTCAGTACTCAAAAATCCACAAGGCGTGCGCCCAGCAAGTGCCACTCTGCTACAAATCACAGGGGAACCTGCCAACCCCATAGCCTTAAGGGATAAAGCTAGTGGACTCAGGTTCTGATGCTTGAAGTTTTCAGAACCCTGTCAATAGGAATTTTGTACAGTGTTTTTGAATAAATTATCATGGTAAACCTTCCAAACTCAAAAAAACTCCATGTACATTAAAAATCCCAGACAAGCTGATGTTCAGAGCAACTCACTGTCAGCCAGTGTCTTGGATATTTAAAACCAGCTTGCATGTTTTGGAGCATTAGAGAATCCTCTTGCAAGGAAGGATACTTCGTACAAGTCTCTTGCTCTATTAGGCAACAAGAACGGATTTACTAGGGCCTGGGAGGAGGAGGTCTTAATTGATGCTGCCAGATGCAGCATAGACATCCTGGGTCTTCTTGATGTGGTTAGAGGGCTCTGAAGTGCTTCCCATCACCCACAGCCCACAGACTGGGATTACTTCTGACTCTGGAATAGTTTCCACAGAGAAAAAATGGACCTAATTTCTCCTACATCAGATGTTAAACTGTACAAAGCACTCCAAAATTCACGGTGGAGAGTACCCT